ATACATACTTTGTATGGAAAAAAATGCTTGTCACCGTCAGCAAAAAACAAAACTATAAAAAATCAAGGTTATTTTTAGCCCCTTGAAACTTGCACTTTAACCTACTGTAATTTAATGGGCTATAAAACTGCTTACCTAGAAGTTTTTTAAAAATTCTGATTAAAAATTTTGAATGTTGGTGAATATTTTTTTCAGTTTTGTACAAATCTTGAAATGCATATCTATTTATATGCAGTTAATTACACCGAACGACAAAAACAAAAACCTTTTCAAAACACGAAGCAAACAATATACCCACAAAACCATAGATCATATAGTTTTTAGTTTTTCTGTCTGACGACAGGATTTTTGGTAAAGGAGTTTATAGTTTAAAAAATATGATTGATTCCAAAAATTATATAAAAAATTCAGTGCAATGTAGAATAAAAATATGGGTACCAAATGAAGGCAAAAATTCTGTAGAATTAAAAAAAAAAATTTTTGGGTTCACAAGGACGCATAGGTATTGAAAAGGATATTCAAGGATAAAACGCAATTTTGCTGTATTTGGCGAATATATTGATCTTTTTGTGTGTAAAGTTGCATACCGCGCGGTGTTACTTATATGTATGTATGTATAGTGAGCTAGACATTTGTAAAAAAAATATGAAAAAAAGAAAAGAAATGTAGCCAAAACTGGTCAACTATGGCGTTTCTATTATTGCCAACAAGTACAAATTACAAATCCCGAAAATCCCGGGGGTCTTGGCAAATAATCCCGGGATTTTTGGGGCCTAAAAAAGTCTGGGCTTCCGGAATCCCGGCATTAGCAGCCCTAGTATGTACATATGTGAAAAAAATCAAAAACTTTTTTTTTCCAATACCCATACTACTACACAAGGCAAAAAAAACCAACTTAAAAAATGTATATATATATATCATGATCCAGTGATCGGATCTAAACCAGATTAGTATGGGACCAGCTCTGAGACACTACCTTTCCGATGCAAAAATAATTATCGAAATCGGTTGACGTGGTCCACAGTTATGCGGTAACATACATAAAAAAAAAATAAAATAAAAAATAAAAATAAAAATATTCCGACGAACCTCCTCCTTTTTGGGAAGTCGGTCAAAAATTAAAGTGGTTCAAAATTTACAAATAATGTATTTTTAGATTGTTCTCCCAGGGGGCCCGCACCACGAAAAGAGCCTAGGGGACCATAGATCCTAAATCCGGCACTGTATGTTTGCACCCAGTATTTATGAATATGTATTTGTAGTATGTAATTAAAAGCACTCGGCGCTTGATTATTTACCACTTATCACTAAATTTATTTTATTTCAATCAAAATCACTGATAAATCAGCTAAATACACACACACACATATGTATCTCAAAACATTTCCTGTGGCTCCATATCGCTTATACAATTCGCTTAATCTTTTCCTTGAACATATCGATCAGCATTTTGGCACCATACCCATTCGCTTGATTATAGTAGGACAATTGGCTAATGCGTGCCAACCAAGCTTTTAATTTCGGATTTTTAGCCGCATCGATAGGCGCCAACTCCTCGAAGCTAGATACGGTGGATACGATGCTAAAATCGGCTAAAGTGATAGTTTTGCCGCACATATACGGTTCATCGCCCAGGAAAGCCTCGAGAAAGTCGTATGCTTCATAAATGGCATCAATTTTTGCACGCGGCACATCGCTCTCATTGTCATAGAACACTGGCAATGCTATGTTACGCAAACAGCCCTGAAACAATACACCCGATTCAAAGTGAAGACGCTGATCGACCACGGCACGTTTTAAAAAGTCCTTGGGATAAAGTGAATCGTCCTTAGCATAACGTCGTACCAAGTATGCAATAATAGCGTGAGAGTCCCAAATGTATTGGCCATCGTCCTCGAGCACCGGTACCGTATGCTGTGGATTCTTGCGTTCAAATTCGGCGGTTCGGTGTTCGCCGTCAAGTAGTTTCACTAATTTGTATTCGTATTGCAAACCGAGCGCAGCCAGGGTCAACTTGCAAGCACGCACCGGTGGACTAGCATCGACGCCGTACAACACTAGTTTGCCCATACTATTTGCAGGTATTTGCGATTGTTATACTAAAATTTAAAGTTGGATGGATAGCTCAGTTTTTTTTTCGAAGCGCTTCTGCTGCTTTCCGTGTTGGGAGCTACTGTAAAACTGAGACACTGTAAGTGCGATAGCTTTTGTTTTCATCGGAGCGATATGGACTTTGTTTATATTGCCGTGGTTGGGGCGTCACAAGCTTTCCATGTATGTATGTGTACATACATTAGACCGTACCAGAGGAAAAAGTTCGCCGTACACCTTCTAAGCTAAATCACAGCTAAATAATATTTTCTTTTTGCCAAACTTAGGGGTTCCCTTTTTAAATTTTTTGTAAAAAGATGATTTCTTTCGGAGTTGCTTTGCAAAAATACTTTACACTCAGGGGTGTACAGTGAAGTTTTTTTGTGCTTGTTTGTAAGGTGGTACGGTCTAATGTATGTATGTCCATAGTTATATACACATGAGTACGCCAATAAATTTTTAATCTATGTATATAGAGTTGTTTGTATTCATAATCAATGTGATTTAATCAACCTATAAACGACAGCTCGGCCGTGACTTAACATATATATCAAATCTGGCATTGGGTGCTTGAGACGACGATGTGTATATGCTATTTTGTTTCATTCGCAAAAGTTAAAGGTTTTAGATTTCACTTTTTCCCTACAAAATATGTAGCACAATGATACTTATCGCAATTATATCGTAAATGATAATACCGGCAATGTACACAATTTCTGTAAGGCCTCAAGTCTTTAAAATAAGGTAGAGGGATGGAACAGAATGGAAGGCAGTAGGGTATGATCGCTCTCTTGGGTATGCAAGTAAAATTGCACGACTATGCTCAATTCCGACTCTTTCTTTCTTGTTCGCGCACTCTGGGCAACGTGAGCATATGCGAGATGCGGTAACCGACCCGGGTGGGGCCTTGGGTTATGACAGAAAGAGAGTTACTTTCGGTTAAACCAGTCCGACAAACCCGGTTTGAGGGCTCGCTGGAGTCTGTAGGTGCGGCTGCAAACTGGTATCAGTCTGTCTTGGTGCGGTTCGCTCTATAATGGGTTGTATGCTGGTCTTGGGACTCGCCACGTAAAACCTTTTCTAGTAAAAGGACCGCAAATGCCTCGAATAAAATCTTCTCCCAACGTTGATGGCTCACGATTTACGAATATGCACCTAAAATATCCGGACGCTCTATTGGGCAGGTGGAAGTTCTCTAAAAATACAAAACCGATGTTGAGACCAAAGAACAATTCCACTAGCGACTTGACGAAGCTTCCCAACTCCGCCAAGATTTTCACGCGGCAGGGTGTGCAGCAACACGAACACACCGCCGACAACGGATAAGGGCTGATGGACATCACTGCTGCACAGAACATGGTAGATAGTAGTACCAAGCACCGGCATCTAAACAACCACGGAAAATAAGCTTCGAGGGTTCTTGGCATGCGTTTCGTCTTGAATCACTAACTTTTGCAGGGAAGATCCGTATTCGTTCCTGTGTAAGGAAAACGTTGGCCAGTTGCGCTACCTGTTTCAACGTTGCAATCATAGCGGAAAGCCGAGAAATTTCTGTTTCGACTCGTACGTGTATTCAAAAGTAAGAAACGATAGGCAGAATCACGAAAACAATCAAACCCCGGCTCTGGGGTAACAGAAGTCCAGAGTATACTCGAGAACACTTCTCGAAGCGTTTAAATGGTGATAAAGGCGGCACGTTTTTGACAAGGCGATTCACACAATCGTCTTTAATCTGTTATTGTGAAGCGAAATACGAGCTACCCATCTGGAACGCAACGTCACGATGCTCTAGCATATGCAGGTGAACGAGGACAAGACGAGGTAACTCCTCGCAACACACCAAGAGTCTTCGCGTCCTTGAACAAACTTCACTGTTGGGAGTTATAAATTTGAAGTATATATATTTTTTTTCAGTAAGGGACTTGTTCTACGTAGGATCCATCATAAACAGCACCTACAATGTCCGCTTGGATATCAAGCCTACAGGTGCTTCTTCTGGCCCGGTAGACAATTGAAAAGCAGAGCTCGCCCAACAGAGATTAGCTTTTCGAACTCATGGATGAGATTCGCTATACTTACAGGCCATAAACGCAATCGGGTCATCGGTAATATCGAGAGACACCAACCACTTTTTCGCTTGCCGAACCTACTCAGCTAACATTTCTTTTCTTTTGGTCAAACAACCCCGTCGAATCAACACGTTACTTGAACATGACTAAGTCTCCAATATTTCAAACCTCTTTACAACCAGAATCCCAACATTTCTGCAGTAAAATTCACCGCCACATTCTTAACTACGTGGACCAAACAGATTAGGCTAGAACTCGCCGCATAAATACGGTACACCCCCTTCATTTTTCGTGCTCATCGCATACCACCTGCAATAACTTACGTGCCAGAAAGAAATCTATAAATGTGTTAGAACGCAGCTATACTTACGGCTACCAGCTGCTACCTCATGTCGTCTGAGCATCACCTCCTCGGGATGTCACCATCGCAACGCAACGACGCTGTGCTTCGGAATGATCCGTCCGTTAATATTGATAATCAGAACCGCCGAGAAAGCCTGGGTGCATCCTAGTGTACCTCTATCGGCTAAGTCAGAAATGGTAAACACCTACCTAGCATACTGGAAGGCCCTCACAACACCCCCAACATCTCGTCACGAGTCCATACGATGAAGAGGGCACAGCCTGACGAGCACTGCTGCTACAACAATGAAAACGATTGTTTCACTAGCTGACCGCTATACCAATTTGTATGCCTTACATTATAAGCAATATTTTAGAAATCTACATATCAGCCATATATTTTAAAAGTAACATGAGTCACTTCATCCCTCCTGTGTTTAAATGGCCGTCATTTTGTACTTCTTGACTTAAATGGTTGGTTTCTTCTACCTGAATACATCTACAAAAAATCAACGCTAAGTCCTAGACCCTTGAAACTTGCACATTATTATACTAAAATTAAGCGACGTTCGGCTTTGTCCACCGAAGGATGTAGCGTGAACTGTCGGCTCACACATCGGTCCAGGTCTCTCTATTATCGCGCTTCGTCGAGTTGGCCAATGACCTCACGGTTGACCAAAACTTACTCACACCAGAGGCGAAATTACAGGTCTTCAGATGCACTTCCCATTTCTTCCGCTTATGTACGTTCACAAGTTCCTGAATCTCCGAGTTTAGATCCCTAATACGGGGATTTCCGGGATCGGCCTGACAAAGGTTGTCGCGCTCATCGGCTAGGACAGCCGCTTCAGCAGAAAAATTCGGACGAGGATCCGATATGCATCCCGCTGATGCTAAAGTCAGCTTAGGTCGCCATGATACGCTGTTTATCAGAGCAGCGCTGACTATTGGTAGGTCTGGCGAGCTGCAGCAGTTGCCCATAATCGTGGTGGGTGCGTCATTCATTGTGCAGAATGTCGAATCGTCTATCTGCTCAGCCAGATGTATTCGCCTATTTGACAGGCTTGAGTGCCAAAGATCGTGGTGCGCGTTAAAGTCACCAACTACCATACGGTTTTCACCTCTGAGTAGCGCACCTATTTCAGGGTGATATCCTGCCGGGCAGCTGGTGACAGGGGGTATGTATACGTTAAATATTTCGAGCTCAACATCGCCT